CAACTACACGCCTTTTTTTTGGGTCATAGTGTTTTTTTAGGCCCTTATCGTCAGAATCTCTTCCATCAGCATAACAGATCGCGCTATGACAAAAGGCTAAATTCAGTCAAATGATTTATTGAAGCCTCTGCTTGTAAAGCGTATCCTCTGTTCCTTCATCTTTCAGTCAGACTGACTGATCTTCCTCACCTCCGTTCTTTCCGCAGCTGATCGGCTCGATCATCGGCCGTCAGGGCACCAAGATCAACGAGATCAGGCAGGTGTCAGGAGCGCAGATCAAGATCGGCAGCCAGCTGGACGGGACAAGTGACCGCCATGTCACTATCACAGGAACACCGGTCAACATCAACCTGGCCCAGTACCTCATTACCTCCTGGTAAGACTCAGCAGCACGTACTGCCATCTAATGAGTCAACACAGAGAGAAATGGTTTCTCAGGGTTAAAGGTCACATGCTAGAATATGATAAGCAGTAATGAGATAAGTTCTTGTGCTGCTGGTAATTGGCCTTATGGGAATAAGTAAATGCAGTGTGACTTTGAATATTCATTTTCTTTGTCCTTATTTTCCATGAGTCTTTTCTCAAATATAAAAAATATTGTGCAACACAAGCCAAAATGTTGCTTTACTCTACCTACGACCTTGTGTTACGCTCTGGTAACTGAGAGTTCTCCACCGATGTAGCATTCCTCTGACAACAATGGAAAGGAAGCTGTAGAACAAGAGATATCTTCTTTTTTTAATTCCGCAAACTCTTCTCCATGTCAAAGCCTATATTACCCACAATGCAACATGTCCACCGACAAGATAGTTGTACATTCGTAACTCACCTTTTAATCCAAGTCCACATCCATTTTTGACTTTCAGATTTGTAGTCTTCAGACCCAAACAACACTTGGGTCAGATTCCACCCACAAGTCTGCACACGCAGAGGATTTAAAAGTTTTTCCACAGATGCCATGGCACTCTCAACAAGAACAGTTATCGACTTTACAGTAAACAGTAATCGACTGCACTCAGTCGAGCACATACCTCCACCAAGGCCCAACAGAAACTCTAAATCCATCATATTTGGACATATTTCTACAAATTTTGAAGACACATATAACTGCTGATTACCCTATAGCCTTATTTGTTACTATACAGTGGTGGAAATCACAATCATAAAGATCCATGAATTATTCTGGAGAAAATCAGTGAAAATAAGATTTCTGGATCAATGTCCGTCCCTCCACCAGGTTTTTGTGAAAATCTATCCAGTAGTTTTTGTGTAATTCTGCTGACAAACAAACCAAACAGTGGCCAAAGTAATTCCCCTTTAATAATTTTCCAGAACCTCCCCTCAGTGTTGCAGCAACAGTATAATCCACCAATCTTGATTTTCTTCCCTGTCTCTGTCTCCCCTTCCCCCCTCCTCGTATCTCTGCCCTCATAGTTTAGAGACAGCCAAATCCACAGCCCAGGCAGCCACCATGGCAACTCCGGTTGACCTCAACATGGCCTTCACCCAGCCAGGCTCCCCAGCTGCCTCCCCCACACCCACCCTAGCCACTATGGGCGCCCTGACCCCGGCTCATATGCTGGGCGCCCCGTACGGCGCTATGCCCCTCTCCGGCCTGCTGGGCATGAAGTCTGTCCCCTTCCTGACTCTGTCCAGCCCTGCCCCCACCGTGACTGCCACTGCGGCACCCTCCCACACCACTCTGGCCGCCTACACCGCCAAAATCTCCTCAGCCAACTGCATCAAAAAACCAGAGAGACAGAAGTTCGCTCCCTACTGATGCAGCCTCTGCGTCTCTCGGGTCTGCAGAGACAGATGAAGGACAGCCGAGCAGTGTTCTTCCACAAACGCCTGATGTAGCCATATCCGCCGGCAGAGATGCTCTTGACTTTTATTCTGTGATTCACCAACAGAGAAGAGACCAATGGAGATGTGGACAAAGCTATTAAAACAGTTATTTACGATTATAGATAATTTGTGAGTTTCCCATGAATTGATGGACTGCTTCATCGTCACCTCATCACTGATCACACACACAAAAAAAAGGGCTGGAACCTCACCTGAGAGACACATGTTTAAATGAGTGTTTTCACATGTGTGTCTCAAGTTAGATAATCAGCTGTGAGTATTTATCCTTCAATAAATTTGTAAATTATACTCAGATGACAAATGCTCTACTGTATGATGCTTTTATACAATGTCTATGTTTGCCTCATAAAGTTTTTAAGAAATTTGTAAATGTCTTGGGGGGGATTTTTTTTTGATAATCTGTGCTATGGTACTGTACTTTACTGTTCAGTGTTATGTTCATTTTGTTGGATTTTCTTTTGAATGAGCGACTTGATTAATCTTTATTTATTAGTATTGTTTCCTTTATTAAAAGTCTTTGTTTCCTGACATGGTGGATGCATCGTCTCCAAGTTTATGTCCTTTTTTCTTCTTCTTGCATCACCGGTATTAAAACTGAAGATTTGAACTATAATCTGTGATATTTGTAGCAGTGCAGGACACACACACATTCAGGAGGACACAGCCTTAACAACGACATCCAGGTTATTTTTGTTTTCCTCCAAACGCAGTCTGGATGACAGCTTCTCATTCGGGTTGCCAGAATTTATGAGAGCTGCTTTTCCCATCCCTGTGCTCCTGTGCCCCGAACAATAACTGCAGAATGAGTCGGTGCAACTCAGGAAGAGACAGGAGCTCTGCCCACAAGCCGAGCAATAATGCATTGACATGCAAGTAAGTGTTGCACAAACGAGTAGATACTGAATCACATGCTGCTCTGTGTGGAGAGCACATTGTTATATACTGAAATCAATTCCTTCAAGTCCCTCAGGACAAAACATGAGCTTTCCGAGGAAGAAACAGATGCTAACAGAGAGAAAGAAAGAGAGAGAAGTGGAAGAAACAAGAAGAACCTTAGTGATGCTGCAAAAATAAAAATTCAGTATCTGCATCAGAATGCAGCGCAGCATCATCATCCTCTGGAGAGGCAGCTCGCATCCTTTCATCCCAACTCTTCTGTTTTTTTTTTTCCTTCCTGTGACTGCATCATGCAACACACAGAGAGCATCGTCCTCATCTGTGCTCAAAGACATTCACTTCCAGAGGCAGACAGACACAGCCTGCAATGTCACTGTTATTAAGCTGAAGTCGTCCACAGCCTTGAAATTCTTTATATTCTTTTGGCATTTTCCATGTATCTGCCTCTCTACTGGCCTTCGGACATGTCATATTGCCTAATTTTGAATTGGTTCCATCCCTTTTCTCATGGTAACGGACTAAATCTCTTTCAAACATTAGAATCTCGTGAATCCAAAAACCACAAGACTTTCAAATTCTAATCTGATTATTATTTTTCACAAAGCAGAGACAGGATTTTTTTGATAATTCTTGAATGAGTCATGATAGGACTTTCAGGGTGATATTCATATGAAGAAAGATTTGTTAATTCTATCTGGCTGCATTTATTTTTAACAAGCTTTTTTGAATTATTTTTTTTCTCCATTATTCGCATAAATAAAACTTAATCTCCAATCACATATCAGATGAAATCTACACAAACATATGGATTCACATTTGAATATCAAAGTGCGATGCCAGTGACAGTGTGGAGCTTGAGTTGGTGCAGAGCAGGAACCAGAGCTGTCACTGCCGCTGAAGAGTTTGTCTTCCTTTTTCATCTGTGGTGAAGCCGCAGGGATCATGTGTCATGTTATGAAAACACACGCACATGCACGCACACGCACACGCACGCGCACACACACACACACACACACACACACACACACACACACACACACACACACACACACACACACAATATTCATTTTTTATCTGGTATGTGCTTGTGAAGATAAATGTATGTGAAACTTAAATCTTTGGGAAAACAATAATCAGAATGTTTTTGTCTGTCTATAGTTATCAGTACACTCATCGACATAAAACATTGCTTATCCAATTACCCTCAGTTTAACCATCACAACTACATACCTAACCCTTATCCTCAGGGTTAGGGGCTATAAATAAATTGAATTTTAGTTTAAAGATTAAAATTAAAACCTCATTCTAAATGTGTTCAATTTTATTAATGAGAAATAAATGCATTAAACCAATCAGATAAGTAGCAGTGGAATTATTATTTTTTAAACCAATTCTCACGCTGCCCCTCCTGTGACACCTTTAACAATTCAAATTCTTCAATCTCTGCTTTTAAATTTTTCTTGTTTGTTTTTACATTGTTTAGATTTCTTTTATCTCCAATCTTCTCTAAACCTAATTCTCAGACTAACCTTAAAACCAAGTTTAAACTTTTAAAAATCTGTGTGAAGTTGTGAGGACATAAATGGTTTGGAACAAAACATTTTCACAACCACAGAAAGACATGTAAGGTTGTGGGGACACTTATTGATATAATGCATTCCCTTTACCCCAACCTCAACCATCACAACTAAATGCTTAATTCTAATTCTAACCACACATTTTATATTTGTGAGGTACAGTCATTGATTAGAATTCATTCCCTACCTCTTACCTTAACCATGCCAATTAAATGCCTAACCCAAACCCATGTCCTGATCCTAACCCAAACCTTTATTAACCTGGATAACCTGAAACATGAAACCCTTAGAGCAGCATTTTGAAGTCAGAGCCAAAATGTCCTCAATCAATACGACACACACACACACACACACACA